AACCTAATTGCGTAAGGCTCGCTGGGCTAGTCACGCCTTTCTCAGTTGGGGGAATTTTGCTGTGAGATCACTCCCTTCTCTCCCCTCACCGTGTCATGCTATATAAATCCCCCCCTCGCCGCCAGCTAAGTTGCAGGCAACAGAAAGGAGCGCAGGCAGCCGCCGCCGCCGCTTTGCAAAGGCTGATCGCTTGAGCGCGCACTGCTGTGCTGAAGATGTTGGACTTAGACTACACGCAGTGAGTGAGAGAGGAAACCGGTTCGGGTCCGAAGGAAGGGGCTTACATGTCTATATGGGCATTCCATGGAGTTCGGGATCTACCTTGCAATTCCCCACACCTTTCATTTAAAAAAAAACAAAAACCCAAACGAATGGAGGAATAGTCGCCCGAGGCTTCTGACCACCTACAGAGCGGATCATAACCATACCAGCACGTCTTCGTGATTCAAAAGGGATGGTTGGGGCATTTAAGGCAGGCGTGAGCCCCGGCACCTCTCTTACTTGGTTTGTATGGCGATTGCCCCCTGAGGTGGCTCTCCGCTTCCAGGGTCCGCCCAGCGCTCTATCGCACGGTGCCCGGCTGCATCCGCTCAAGGTCTCTGCCCCGAAGCCATGCGGGCTTGCAAAAACCGTGCAGGCCGCTTGGATGAGGACGGCGGCAAAGAGGAGCCGGGGAAGGGTTGGGACGCAAGGGGAACTGAGTGCCCGAACTCCTTGGTCTGAGGAAGAGACATGCGAGGGGGCTGGGAGAGGGGAGGGAAGCGGGGCAGGGGGTGTGAACGCTGCTCAATTCTCCGGCTGGAGATTGAGGTCTCCTTTGGTTTATTGTTAAACTGAAGTGGCCTCAAGGGCCTCATATCTTTTCGACAATATCAGAGCGATCTTCTAAAGCAACATTAAAAGCCATAAATTACAATGCGCAGGAAACAAGCGGGCGGCCGCCTAAAAGTCCCTCGGATAAATTCAAGGGCCATTGGAAGCCTGGTGTTTCGAGCCAAAAACTAGGAGCTTGTAATCCCAGTTTGTATGATGACAAGTTATAAGTCCCACGGGAGCTTCTTCCTACCCCGACTTGGGGGGCTCCAGGTGTGCTGGCCTAGCTGTGGGGATGCTTGCAGCTGTAGTCCAACATATGTGGTGGGCACCAGGTTACAGAAAGCTGCCCTCATTTGAATGTTTGTTACCTTTTGATCCGGGACGGCTTCCCTTCCCCTGCGAGGTAGCTTAGGCCAAGAGCTAAGATCAAGTCTGTGACTGATAGGCGCCTAGGTAGACCCCACTCCCCAGCCCCAGCCTAAGCCCAGTAGGCTCCAGTATGCCATACACAGAATGTCAATGGTAAACTGGGTGGAGGGAGGAGCAGGTCTGACTCCCACGGGGGGTACTTTTGGGTTTGCAGCCGGGGTCCCTCTGGAGCGAGGCCTTGGGGCCAAGCGCCCAGCCCAGGACCAAGAAGGTGGCATCAGTGTGTGGGGGTGGGTAGGTAAGGGGGCTGTGCATGTGGGGAGGGTCTCAGAGTCCACATGTGCCTTTGGCCGTTGCGCAAGCGGGTGGAGGGAGATTCAACGGCTGCAGTTTTTTGGCTCCGCATTGCAGACACCATGGTGGGAAAAGGGTTACCTGCAGCCAGGCCTCTTTGGCTTGTTCTCTTTGACACAGGAGCCTTGCCCGAAAATGTTAGTGGCAACCCCTTAGGAAGGAACCCTCCAAATCTTGACTGCCTCCTGGTCTTAGCAGTCCCTCGGCCCCTCCCCATGCCTTTTGACTGAAGCTGGGTGCTTTGTGCCCCCCCATCCCTTTCTCCCTCTCACTTTCTTTCCCCTCTGCTGGCCTGTTATGCAAAGTCTGAGGCCTGTAAAGGTGGGGGAAAACTAGATTTGAATATTTCCTCAGGAGAGTGTGACAGTGTGACGCTGAAGCACGGTGGCGTGTGGGGGGGGGGGGGGGGGAGGTCGGGGGTGTACGCGGGGGGGGGGAGGAGGAGGTCAGGGGTGTATGCGGCTTCCTTGCCTGCCCCCTGGGACCTTGACTTTGCATGCCCCTGCCCATTCTGCTCGTTGCTCCAGACTCTAATACCACAAAAAGCACCCACGGCCGTGGCCCGGCTCTTCATATGTCCTACAGCCGTCTGATTGTATCAGGCTGGATTGCAATGCCCATCATTCCTAGCCATGGTTGGGGAAGGCTGCGAGGTTGTTATCCCTGGGCAATAAATGGATGGAGCGTGTAGGTGTGAGGCCTCAGTATGAACTAAAGAGTCCCTCAGATGATTCCATCCCTTATTTCAGGCCTACTGTGTGCTCCTGTCAGAACTTGTAGAGCTGAAGAAGGTGCAGAAACGGGCAAGCAAAATGCAGGCGTCTTTCCTGAAAGAAAACGTTGGCCGCGTCTGGGGTTTGTTTAGCTTGGTGGGGTTGGGGAAAGCAAAATGGCAGGTCCACGGGGTGGACATGACAGAGGACTATGAAGGGATCTACAGTAGAGAGGAGAAGGTTTTCTCATCTAATACTAGAACATTAAACGAATTTGAGTGGTGGGAGATTTGGCATGAAAGAAAGCACGTAGTGCATAATTTAAAACATGCATCAGGTTCATTACTGTAAGATGTGAAACGACTGTCAACAACTTGGATCAATGTATTTATTTGTTTCATTTTTATACCTGCCAATAGCCAAGGCTGTTTGGGGCAGTTTAAGATTTAAGAGAGGAGGAGACCAAATTCATGGCTACTGATCGTGACAGCAGTTTGATACTTCCCTTCTCCAAGACAGCGTGTCACTCACAATCAGTGCTGGGATCACAAGCCGCATGGGTGCTGTTGTGTTCATAGCCTACCTGGGTTTCCCATCACGGCATCTGATTAGCCCCTGTATGAACAGAATATACCCAAATATGTCACAATGGCGGCTGCGTTATTTGCTCGTAGAGTGTGGCAAACCCAGTGTGGCAGTTTGTTATTTTGCTTGGTTTGCAGATTGTGGTGGTGAGGTAAGGAGGAAACTGCTGAAGGGAGGGCGTGACTTATTTATGGTCACCCCCTTATCTGTTGGTAGTTGTGGGACAGACAAGTGTCTGCTGGACAAATGCAGTTCTGTACCAGACCTCTGTCCTGAGAGACTGCGTGCGCTGACTACGAGCTGGAACTATCCTTAGCCCATCCTGTCCCTGGGACTGGTAGCAGTGTTTCCTGCTTTCACCCATCAGGGGATTTGGAATGGGATCCCAGGCTAGCATAGAGCTTGCCGTGCAGGCCAGGCCTGTAGGCACAACAAGCTGATGGCAGCTCCCATGGTCCAACAGCAAACAGAGCAGAGAACAGAGCCAGTGCTTCCAATGTAGCTCTGGTTTGTCTGCTGTAATGTGGGCAAAGGGAGCCCTGAATAATTGGAGGGAGTGTAAAGATTGGGCACCTAGAAGATCCAGTTTACTGGTGAGGCAGCCCACCTTGTGCATGGCTTACAGCATCCCCATCCCCATTAAACACCTCTTGTGGGAGTATCCACAGTTACGTGGCTTGGTGATTGGACCGGGACCAGGGAGACCCATGTTGGGATCCCTACTTGGCCATGAAGCTCATTGGTGGCTTTGAGCAAGCCCCAGACGCTCTGCCTGGCCTACCTCACTGGGTTGTTGCAAGGATTAAATGGAAAGCAGGATGGTCATATATGCTGCCTTAAGGATCCTTGGAGAGAAGGATTCTTGTAAGTGTATCAAACAGAGTAAAAAATTCCAGTGATTAACAGACCTTTCTACATAGTTGCTTGCTCTGAACTTAGCATCCATTCTGAGCAACAGGGTTGATTTACAATAAGGGTGGGGAATATGTGGCCCAACTTGATATTGTGGCAGAGAGAGAGAGAGAGAGAGAGAGAGAGAGAGAGAGAGAGAGAGAGAGAGAGAGAGAGAGAGATGGAAAAACAGAATGTGTAGCACTTTTCCCACCCACTTTCACTGCCTGGTGCATAATCTACAGAGCTTTGTCAATCTCAGGCGTGGAGCCTTGAACAGTTTACCTCCATCGGAGAGAATGAAGATTCCCCATCCCTCAGCAGTTTTCAAGTTCCTGAGCTGGCTTCCTTATAAGGCTGTTTGTCTCTGCCCGGCAAATCGTCCTGCATTTGCAACAGGGCAACAAAACCCCAATATACTCAGCACCTCCTATCTATCAAATGGAAATAACCATTCCCATGCTCATCATTAGTTTCGTTAGACATAAGACTTAAATCCCAATAAAGATCAAGCCTCCCTTTCAAATAAGAAAAGTCTGTTTTCATGGGTAGTTCAGTCTAGTAATCGGGGTGGGTAACACAGAGACTGTAGGCAGCCCCCCAACGCCTTTTGTGCACCCCACAGCAATTCTGCCAGGAACATGGGACATGTATGTCTTTCTTCCTAGCAGAATTAGTCTCCCTGCAGTCTACCAAACAGCTGGCTTTGTGCATAAGGCTGCAGTCTAAAAGCTACAGTCCATGGCTGCCATGATAAACAAAATAAGAGCAACAGCTACTGTTGCGTGAATGTATACTTTCTTACTCAAATGTTGATTCTGTATCAGTTTTAGTTGATTGATTACCTAAGGCTTACCTGGGCTAAAGCTCTATTGAGATACAGAAGGACAAATTTCTGACCAAAGTTTTTCAGCATTGCGCTGTATATTTGCATATTCATACAAAACCTTTATTCCCCCCCCCCACACACACACCTCTGATGGGGGAGTACTCGCAAACACACAAATAGCCATTGTTATCTGCATCAAGGGCCACTACAAACTTTTCATCCAGGGCCTCTTCCTGTTTTAAGAATTGTTCAAAGGATGTGAATTACATGGGGGCAAGAGAGATGGGCAAGAGGGGAGATTTAGCTACTTAACAATTTCCCTTCTATATTGGCAGGTTTGAAGGGTCCCAGTATGGATACACAGTAAGTACCTGGCTTAGGATGCCTAAATTCTCTGGGAAGGGAGTAGTTTCTAAGACGGAGTGGGCAACTCACAGTGCTCAGCCTAATTTCAAAACCCCTGTGCAAGACCTATGGCAAGGTCTCCCAGAAGCCCAGTGGGTAGGGAGGAAGAGGGGGAAAGCGAGAGGAAAAAGAAATGGCAGAGAAGGAGGAGGGAGGGGCTGCCCTACTCACTTTCAGCAGGACAAAAATTCAGCAGCACCCGCCTGCGCAGGTTCCCTAGCGATCGAAGGACATAGGATGCGGCCTCTGACGCCAGAAGCATCAGGACGAGCGACCATGGATAGTCTCCTCCATGAGATCGCGTGCTTCACTCCAGCATAGACTGGGGAACCTGTGTTATTGGATTCTCACTCCCATCACTTGTGACTATTGGCCTCGTTGGCTGGGGCTAATGGGAGCTGAAGCCCATTAACACGAGGGTCGTAGTTTCCTTCTTGTGGTCTATGAGTTTGTTGGAGTGGGGGATGAGAGTCCTGTATTTCCGTTCCCATTCCTTCTTGGAATCACTCACCAACCTGCCTTGTGCCTTTCAGTTCCCAAATGGCTGCATTTATGACCCCTGCAAACAAGAACCCACATTCCCTTCCTGTCTTGCAGAATCTGATTGCTCTCCAGGTATGCACAGGGAAGGGGGAGTTGTATTTATAAATGTACATTTGTACCTCCTGCTGAAAATAGTGCTCAGGGCTACTCACAATAATAATAAAATACAGAATTATTATGAAAACATAACATCAGTTAGAAATGCATCCATTAAAAACGGTACTAAATTGCACCCATCAGGTAGTGCCTTCTTGCAAGAGCCTAGAGACCAAGTCTGGAGATTGCTCATAAGGGTGCACTTTTTACAGAATAACACACACACACACAAAACACAGACTTTCTGTTTCTCTTGTGTGCTGATTTGCCTAGGCTACTGTTGCCTTGCCGTTAGCGCTCTGGAGAAGTCTATTTTGTACATGCCTTCCTGTTTAGCACCAGTCTGCAAGAGAATCGTTTCTCCCCACCTTGCTTGCACAATCTGGATTTAGTCATGTACTCGGCTGACTGCTCCCTGACTTCTGGCGGGGCCGGGGGGGGGGCGGGGGGGGCAAGCAAGAGCCTCCCACTGATATGGACACTGTATGATATGCAGAGAGTTGCCAAGTTCAGATGTGTGCAGGGGACTTTAGAAGGCTTGACAGTACTTGGAAGATTACAACCATGGTATTTCAGTCCCACAGCGGCCTGTCTCTGTGGCTGCCATGCCTCAAGGCAAATCCAGACCGATATCCTCCACAGTAGACGTGCATTTCTCACAACACCACTTCTCCCTGCCACATCCGTTGTGTGGTTTTCCTTTGAGTCTTCTGTGTTAGGAAGTAGTGCAGCACTGGAGCACAGGCCGAGAGCATCTTCCTCTAACCTGGCGCCTTCGAGACGTTCTGGAGTTTAACCACAACAGCTGCAGTCTGCAAGCCAATGGTCAGGAATGCTGGGCGTTGTAGTCCAGAATATCTGGAGGGTACCAGGTTAAAGGAGGCGGTCCAATGTGGCATAGAACTGAGGAATCAGCGGTTCTGCAAATGTCATTGACCTGCGCCTCCTTTCGTCCCTGTCAACTGGATTTGCTGGCTGGGGCTCATGGGAGTGTGCCTCCAACAGCATGCACGGATTCGTTGGGTTAGTTTTGGCTTGCCCTTCATCCAGAGAGCTAAGTGGACCCTCTGCTCCTCAGGCCCCCTCATTGTATCCTCTCAGCAACCCTGGAAATGATAGAAATGGTGACTGATCCAAAGTCATCGAGTCAGCTGCAGGGCTGAGATAGCTTTCCCCAGCTCTAGACAAACATACTAACACAAAGGTGAGTAACCCAGTGCTCTTCTGGTGTTGGGGACCACAGCTCCTATAATCCTTGTCTAGTGGCCATGTTGACTGGGCCTGCTGGGAGCTGTAGTCCAAGAACAACCGGAGGGCTTCAAGCTGCCTACCGTTGTACTAACCTCTGCACCGTGCTGGTCAGTCGCACAGTCTTTACCACTCTTGTCTAGTTGGCCATCCATCAGTTGCATTTCTGCATTAAAGCCCGATTCTCTGTGCCCCAGCTGGCACCCAGCCGTAAGGCAGATTTGCTGATATCGTCCATGCCAAAAGCAGAGAGCTGGTCAGTGTGAATGAGCAACTCCAAATGTATCTGAGAGTTGTTGGGATTTTAATATATCTTACAGCGTTCTTTGCTTATCGATAGCAGTTTTCCCTCCTGACTGGCAGCCTGCTGATGCTTGGCAGTGCACCGCCCATCAGCCCCAACCAGCCTGGCCAGTGTACAGGGATGATGGGATTTGTGGTCCGAAACATCTGGAGAAGGCTGCATTATGGAATTCCAAGCTGATCTGAGCACTGGCCAGGCTTGGAAACTCCTTAGCTTCATCAAGATAGCTGCATCAAATGTCTTCAGGCTTTGGTCTGTCATTGTGTCCATCTTAAAAGGCTTGTTTTACAAAACAAAGTGGCCCTGTTTTACTTTTATGCTTTTATGCCTGCAGTGCCACATCCTCCCTTTCCAATATCACCAACTGAATTTCCTTTCACTGACTCATACCAAAATGGGACTATCTGCCTGAACTTCTCCTTTTCTTTCTCTCTGGGTAATGTATCTGTTCTTCCTAAATACAGAAACTTGTTTTTTGCTTTAGTTTCTCTTCTTCTGTAGTTCATCTTACTGAAAATGTTTGCATTCACGTTTCAGCTTGCTGTTCCCAATTTATTCTGGTTTTCCTTTGGTCACTTCCTCCTGTAGCAATGCTGGCTAATTGCCCACTTCTCTCTCAGTCTCACTACTTCCATTAACATTTAGCAGTGCCCAGTTCGCTGCCCTGCATGGAACTGTCAGGCTAAGAGCAGGGAGAGATCCCCACTGAGCCATGAAGCTGGGTGACCTTGGGCCAGCCACTGTCTTTCAGCCTAACCTACCTCATTTTTATTTATTTATCATTTATTTATTAAAACATTTTTAATCATAGGGTTCTTAGGAAGCTAAAGCACTGCTTTCCTCCCTGAAGCTTTTGTTCTCCTGCTGCAAACCATTTGGTTCCCCCGGGCCTCCTAATGCCCGTCTTGGTGGTACCATTTTAGTTGGGTTGAGGATCTACATTCATAGCACTGAAACGGTGGCTTGATTTGAACCTAGCGTTTCCCTCCTCTCCTAAAATGGGCACAGGCGCCTCCTTTGCATAGGGCCTAAGAAGTCCAAGAATTCCCATTACTCCGCCCTGGTTTTTCAAACTGTGCCCCCTCCTGAGGAAAGCTGCGATTGCTGGCGTGTGACTATGCAAATGGATGGCTTAACGCATTTGCACAGACCCAGGCCTGCAGCTGTCAGGCTCACAGAAAGCCCTTTGTAGCCGGCGTGCCATCGTCGCTTCGGCCCCTTCTGCTTTCGGACAGGGGAGACGCGGGTGGAGGCTGGAATCCGGGCTCCGGGCTTCATGATGCGGGCAGGGAGATGGTGAGCCCTTCATACTGGCATCCTCATGACCTTTCAGTGCCATGAGCAAACATTTGGCTCTGGACGAACACGAGTGCAAGCAAAGCACCGGAGCCCTCGCAGCCCAAGTGCCCTGGCACTGCCCACCACTAACCGCATAGTGCGAAGGAAGGAGAACGGGCAGAGAGGAAGATACAAAGCAGCCGTTTAGACAAGCCCCGAGAGGCACTAGCCTGCAGTTCCTGTATGTTTAAAAAAACCTGCAGAGAGCCTTGTAGCTGGCATTTCTGCACTGGCCAGGAAGAAGCACAGGGTAAACTTTGCCACCGACTTTGCCAAAGTGATCCTGGCCCACTGGTTTTCAGTGCTGGTTCTGCGGCATGGACACTTTTTCCTTTGCTGCCAGCATGGAGAACAAGCCGATTGGCAGAGTGGGGATGGATGGAGCCATTCCTCCACACCTGTCATTCCACTCGTTTGCTAGCATGAAATCGCTTGTCACTGATGATGATGAGCAGGCTGGTTGCTGCATGGAAGGCCAGCAGGAAAGCTGGGCAAAAAGTGCTGTAGGCATGGTCAGGGTTGACCTTGGAAGAGGGACGAGGAGATCACTAGGCCTTCCTGGGTTTCAGCAAAGTTTTTTTAAATAAAAAAGTCAGTTGGATTCCTGCCCACCCCAAATTATGAGATCTCGTGTGTGCACTGAAATCCCAGAAAAGGGTGGTTGGAAGAGTGGATCAGGATCTCTTGGCTGATTTCTAGATGGCTTGTACTAAATATGGTTGCAGGTGGACCTAGTAGAAGGCTCTGGAGAGCAATGGGCAATTGGCTTCACTTCAAGGCACCGTTTTGCATTAGGTTTGCCCCCTTTGGCCACTATTTTGTGCCTGCCTCTTGTTCGTGCGTCTCCGAGTTCCAGTGAAATGCTCAGTTTATCCATTAATCTATCCACAAGCCTGGCTATCGCTCAACTCTCTGCCACTAGGGTGTTTTTCAAATGGTGGGTTTGAGCTGGGGAGTTTAACAGCCAGCCTGATTTCTTGGCTCTTTTCCTTTCCTTGACGCTTATATAATGGGTAACTTTTCAGAGGCCTGCATGAACTGGCTAGAGATGCCAGAGACCGGGTATGAAGCCCTTGAGGTGAGCCACCTGGCCCAGCTGCAGAACGTCCAAGTCTCCTACCTGCCCGGATCTTACCCCCAGCTCTCTCTGGGCAACGCCTATAGTCAAGATGGAATGATCCCAGTCCAGAACATGGAAGAATACAACACACAGGTGAGGGCAAGGACCATGGGGGTTCAGGAGGGTAGAGAAGCGGGGAGAGTGAGAGGAAGGCAGGAGCCGTGGGTTGTATAGGGGATAACAGGAATTAGCACTATGTGTTAGAAGTCCTGGATTTTTAGGGGAACCAAAAGGGGGTGTTCTGTACCTTGTGACCTGTTTCCACGTGTGTGCCTATGGGGGTCCCCACTGTAGAGCAGACTGGTCATGTGTGGAAGGGGATGATTTTGACTGGGGAAAATGTGGGAGAGCATTCAACATTCCCACACCCACAAGAGAACTGCTCAGATTAAATCAGAACTGAATTAAAACAAGAGCAAGAAAAAGAGAAAATGGCATAACAATAATTGGCCAAAGATCCAAAAAACTATAAATAGGAGCACTTGAGAAAACACTGTCGTATATACCCTTCCTCTAAAAGTGTTTTAGTTCAAGACTTCAGCCAACTTCACACAGGAGCTTTGTAGAACCATTCAAAGTTTGTGGAGTTGTGGTTTTAGGAAGGGCAGAGGGATGAAAATGTTCCCCTCTTCTGTGTTGTATGCCAAAGTTGGGCAGAAGATAGTCCTCCCGGGCAGCCTGGCTCATGGTTGGGAACATCTAAAACATCTGGAAACCTGCCTTCTGCCCCCCCCATAGGGAACATCTAAAACATCTGGAAACCTGCCTTCTTCCCCCCCCCCCCCCCCCGTAGACCACAAAAAGGCTCAGGTTAGGTAATTGAATTTCATTCAGGAGATCATTTGTGGAGCATGTGTGTCTCTCTGTGTGTAAGTGTGATTTGGTCCTAACTTGTGAGAGCTTGGGATTTCCCTTTGAATAAATCCAGGTTTTCTTACCTCCCTGGCATGCTTTTTTCATGGTTTGGCCCCCACAGATCTACCTCCCATGCGGTCAGTACCCCATATCCAGAACAGTCTCCAGCCCGTCATCAGAAGAAGAGGAATTCAGCAGTGACAGCCGGAACCTGGAAGTGTCTTCTGACAGTGATTTGGATGAGAATCTCTCGTCTGGATTTGACCCAGGTGGGAGTCAGAGGGGGCAAGGGAATTCGAACTCCAGAATTACGTATCCCCAAACATGCAAGCAGAAGATGTGAGGTCACCTTGATCAATCCATCACAGTCCAGTGTAGGACAATTGACCACAAGAACAAAACAAGAGCTGGAAGTATGTGCAGAATTAATAACTCAAGTGTACAGCGTTTCTTTGGGTTGACATTCATTTATTTACATGAAGTTGCCAAATGTAACATGCGTAGATACAGCAGGCAGAGTTTCCACTTGGGAAAGTCCTTCTTCACCCAAGCAGCAGCCTGAGGAAATCATCATCCGCTTGCTGACCGGAGTGTTTTTGTCTCTCTTCAGGCTCCCGCCGGAAGTTGCGCCTCTACCAGTTCTTGCTGGAGCTGCTGGAGCGGGGAGACATGAAGGAGTGTGTGTGGTGGGTGCAACGTGAAGCAGGCATCTTCCAGTTTTCCTCCAAGCAGAAGGAGGTCCTGGCCCACCGCTGGGGCCAGCAGAAGGGCAACCGCAAGAAAATGACCTACCAGAAGATGGCCAGGGCTCTGCGCAACTACAGCAAAACGGGGGAGATCCGCAAGGTGAAGAAGAAGCTCACCTACCAGTTTGGGACCTCGCTGCTGAGCCAGTCGGCTGCCTCCTAAGCGCCCCGCCCTCCAAGCAGGCCGGGGGGCTGGGCCAGTCGCTAACAAACAGACCTCCGTCCTCAGCTTCCCCCCACCAAGAACCCCATTCAGGTTTCCACTAGCTGAACCGCAAGAAAGCAAAGGCTCTGAGGAGAGGAAAGGTTGCAAGGGAAGGGCCAGGCAGGTGTTGGCAGGTGTGAAGAGCCTTTGTCAGGGAGTGGGGTTGCACTTTAGTGGGGGGGTTCGGGTACCAAGATGATTGGATTTTGGTTTTGGGGTGGGGTAATATGACACAACAGGGAAGGCTGCAAGGCCTTCCATGTCCCTGGGAGAGGACTAGGCTCCCTTGGGTTGATGGGAGCAAGAACTCTACTAGCCTACTAAGAGGGTGTGCATGTTTTTCGCAACGGCAGTGAAAACAGCTGGGCGGCAGGGGGAGGGGGCTGATCATGGTGGTGTGAGGCTTTCCGTGGAGAGCGCCAGTTCAGTGCAGGGCAGCAGCTGGAGTGCCGAACTGGGGCTCAGAAGATCGGGGTTCTCGTCCCCACTTAGTTCACCGGTGGTTCTGCGCCTATCGCTGACTCTCGGCCTAGCCTACCTCACCGTGGTGAGGATAAAGTGAAGAGATGAATTATGTAAGTTACCTTGCAGGAAAAAGGCAGAATAGGAATCTCATAAAAATAAGGAATAAATGGGAAAAAGGCACCATGTGGCTCCCAGGGAAATTGCTGGGTCCAGGCCCATGGGACTGCGTCCCAGAAGCAATTTCCTGGGGCCAGTGATCTATTCCCCAGAGCCTGGAGTGTCTGTTTGTGCCACTGGAAGGTGTGTTTTTTTCTGAAATACTTCTCATCCAGGGGGCAGTTTTCAAAGGCGATTGCAGCTGGGAAGGGAAGGGAAGGGAAGAATTATCTTTCCCTTTTCCCCATGCTGTAGCACCTATATGTGTATCTATATGTATATTGCCTTTGCATAGCAATTAACTTTAGAGAAAAAAACTTTTCCCCATTTGTTGGAGATAACCTGGGTCATGGTGCAAATTAAACTGAATAATTTATATTGATGGAGATTATCTAAATGAGAACTCAATGGGATGGCTTTACCTCCTATAAAATTTAAATAAACTCTAGTAATAATTTCTGAATTTGCATTGTGTCGCGCTTATGTTGTGTCCTCTGGGCTTGGGTCTTCAATTTTTAAGTGCTTACAAATGGCTCTGGTGGCGACCTTTGGATGGTTGTGCAGGTCACTCCGTGAGATGATGGGAGCCACAGTTGTGGCATTAACTTCGGGGGGTGGGAGGATGATGCCTTCGCAGATGCAGCAAGGCCAAATTTGGGGACAGAGGGTTTGTCCATGCCCCTGGTTCTTTCTGTCCTCCCCACCTCAGGTAGAAATTCCAAGCCTTAAAGAGGAAAAAGCATTGTGACGATGGATGGGAAGGGGTGATATTCCAGAAGGGGGATAAGATAACCTCAGCTCAGTGGGACAAAGGGATACCAAACTTCTGCTCAACAGTTGTATGTATATATGTACTTGAAAGATGTTTATTTAATAACTGATTTGTGTGTGTGTGTGTTTAAAAATCTCCACAAGTGGTGGGGGGATTTTTTTTTTTGGGGGGTACAGAACTGGATTATTTTAAATGGCTCTTACCTGTATAAATGGTGAGATTTGCTAATAAAGGTTTATGACAATAGAGAATTTGGTGGCTTGCTTATGTATTTATTTATTTATTTATTTATTTATTTTTGTCAGTGTAATTTTACTTTGGGGGTGTGTGCGCATGCTGGAGGGAGGTAAAGCTGAACTACTTGAGAGTGGAATAAGGTTTAATCAGGCCTGGCCCAGCTGTGCAGGCAAAACATTAGCTGGCCTGTTGATCCAAATATCATTAGGCACATTGAGAAATACGTTAGTCAGAGTATTTGTCCATTGAATCCTGTAGAGTCTACTTTGATCCGCAGAAGCTCTCTCTGGTCTCATGTGGCAAAAGGTCTTCCTTTACATCACCTGTTACCTGAAAAATGAACCTGAGATCTTGTACATGCAAAGCAGAAGACCTTCTCCTTCATCACCAAGGTCCATGTCAAGGGCCCCAGGGAACTGGCTCCTCTCTTTCACCACTGGATGGTGCCGATCCAGCCCACCTCTTGCTCTGCCCCAGCGGGATGTGAGCCAGTAAGAATGCAGACATGGCTACAAAGGAAGGAATACCTAATCCCCCTATCTTTTGTGATCTATACCATCTTCAGATCTTTTTTGTTTCTTAAGAAGGTTTGGCATTCAGATCTGCGACTTGCCACCAGCATATGCTCCAAAGTAAGACCTGCAGCAACATCTTGTTTTGCAGAGAGCTCCTGATCAGGGTTCCAGCCAGCCAGCCAGCCAAAACCTCTTCCAGGATGTTCCATTCCAATCCTTCCCCTGACCCACATTTTTCTTGCAAACTCTGGGGCTTCTCCCAAGCCTGGGGATACTCCTTTTTGTATGTGTGGATTGCGTCAATTTGACTCAGAGAATAAATCTGCTATTAGCATATGCAGTATCTTACAGACACATTCAGTCCCCTTTGCTTTTTTCCACAATTTGTTGTGTTATAATCTGGAACTGAAATGGATTTAAATCATGAACAAGTCAATACTTGGTAGAAACAGTTATAGCTGCGAATCTGCTTGGGTAACTGTCAGCTTTGCACATCTGGATCTTGCAAATTACTCCAGTTCTGCCAAGTAGGGTGGGAACTGTTGGTGAACAGCAACGTTCAAGTCTTGCCAAAGATTCTCAATCAGACTGACGTCTGGACTTTGACCAGGCCTTTCCAAGACATTCAGGCTTTTGCATTGAAACTGCCAAAGTGCTGCTTTGGCTTTGTGTTGTGGGTCATCGTCCTGCTGGCAGGTGAAGCTCCACCCCAGGCCTTGCACACACAAACTAGTTTTGCTCTAGCATTGCACTGCACTTGGCTCCATCCATCTTGCCCTTAATCCTGGCCAGTTTCCCAGACACAGGTAGGGGAAAGCATTCCCACAAACAACACTGTTGATGATGCACCACACATCATATTCTGCCGTAAGGTCAAAAAGTGCTATTTTGGTCTCATCAGACGATATAAGCTTTTTCCATAGGTTTGCTGTGTCCCCCACATGCCTTTCGATAAACTCCAAGCAGGCTTTGATAAGCATTTGCTTCAGCAGTGGGTCTCTCCTCACCGCTCTTCCATAAAGTTCAGCTTTGTGGAGCATCCAGGTGATAATGGTTCTATTGCTCATTCCCCCACTCTCAGCTGCAGATCTCTGTGGCTCCTTCTGAGTTACCATTGGACTCTTGGTTGCTTCTCTGACTAATGTACCCCTTACTTAGTCACTTGGTTTTGGTAGGGAGCCTTCTCTAGGTAGAGTCGCATCTGAGCAATGTCCTTTCTATTTTGTAACCATGAATGTAATGGTGTTCTGGGGCATATTCCTACCTTGGGATATGTTTAAATAACCCAACCCTTTTGGTGCTTCTGCACAACTTTAACCTGTACTTGTTTTGACAGCTCCTTGATCTTCATAATGCTGTTTAGATATGTTTAGATAAGTTCTCCAGAAAACTCTGGGACCTTCCAGAAACAGCTATATTTAACTCGAGATAATGTGAATTGCACACTGGAATTCATTCATCTACTTACAGTATGTGACTTGTGGAAGAGAGGGTTGTCCCACATTTTATTAAGGCTTGTCCCAGCAAAGGGGGATGAATACTTATACAACCAACAAGTGTCAGTTAGTTTTTATTTACTTAACTTTTGTGCACCAATTAAACATTTTGCACCTGCACAACATTGATTATTTTGTGTACATCAAGTGGTAGCAATGCCAGTGAAATCCCTTTCAATGCTATCCTGTAACAAAACAAAATGCAGAAAATTCAGAGGCTGAATACTTCTGCAAAGCAGAAAAGTGTAAAGATCACTGCTGTTAGGTATTGCTAAAAGCCCCCTTCTGCCTGCTGTGCTCTGTTTTACCCTGTTTTTGAGGTGGATGTGTACACAAACTGAGTAAAGTAGATTTTGTCAAGCATTTTAATAGAATGCTTAGTCTGGTAATGAACCTGTTTGTCCTTTCTGTGCTTTTTAACATAATGAACAACTAGAAGGCAGAGTTATTAGGGCTACTGTGTTTCCCCCAAAATAAGACCAGGTCTTATATTAATTTTTGCTCCAAAAGAGGCATTAGGGCTTATTTTCCAGTTAGGTCTTATTTTGAGGGAAAATACGGTATAATGTGGCATATGCACACAGGCATTCTTTAATAATTCATTCATTTACTTAAAATATTATTTTAAAATAAGGAAGAATAGGAACAGAAAGGGCTAAATATGAACAGTTGGTGCATTCCTGTCCTGCCTGGAGCCTAAATTGGTAGAAGAGAGTTAATGATTCGATTCTGCAGAAGGCATCATAAACATTGGTTTATGTATGGGCTTTCGAATAAGTTGTTGGCCACATGGGGGTGCTAAACCCTAATGAGAGAGATTTGCTTGTAACAGAAAGCTGGATTCCAAGGGAGCGCTTACCAGGAAGGCTTTTAAAGATGGGGTGGGGGGCATTTTGTTGACGTTCCTCGACCAGAATCCCTTCCTTCATAGGGTGCTAGACAAATCCTGGGGGGGGGGGGGGCAGTGTGCTCCACCCTGGCCTTCTCTCCTTCTTCCCTACCCCACCTTGCCCTAAATTGTGGATTTGCTTTTATCCCCACTGCAGGAAGCTTCACATCCTTGTCCCATAATTTGGCAGCAAGAGCGAGGAATGCAAGCTATTCCTGGCCTCTGTTGAAACAGGCAATCCCATCTCTTAACGTGGCATTAGATTCCTGACCTTGGCATTGCTGCTTGTCCAGGTATGGAGAGAGGGTTGCATTAGGGTGCTGGTTGGAGCTGCATTAATCTGTGACTTGATCTTGATCTATCTTGGTATTGTCCTTGATCTATCTTGATCTATCTTGATCTATCTCCTTGATCTATCTTGGTATTGTCTGTCTAGTGTTATCTATTTCTGACTGCCAGCAGCTTTTGCAGAGTCTCAGGCAGAAAAGAGCCCTTTCCCAGGTGTGCAACCTGGCATCCTTCAGTCAAGTATCGGAGCAGATACGACTTGCAAGGGATTCCTCATAACAACATCGGAAGCTGCTGCACTGAGTCAGACCACTGGTCTGTCTAACCCAGTATCACTGGCACTGTCTGGCAGCAGCGCTCCCAGAACAAGACAAGACATTTTCTGTACCCCTGTGATTCCTTATTGGCCATTGTTTATGGATTCCTTAAGACAAAGTTGTGGTCTTTCAGTTTCACTTCAGTTTTCTTAAGACAGAGATGGTTTTCTTTGCCTTTCTTTAAGACAAAGTTGTGATCTTTCAGCTTCACTTTCCTGTTTCCATTTTATTTTTCAGTGCAGGGAAAATGAGGCATTATTTCTGAAAGTGTGATTTCTACGGGTGTATTTGTGCTATTCTGCTGTAGCAGAGCACCAGCTTGACATTGTGTAGCAGGAAAGATCTTTGTGTGGAATTTGGATCTTAATCCTGTGCCAAAAGCAGAAGCAGAAACAGTAATTAAGAGCCTGGTATAGAAAAGCTTCCCAGGCAGGATTTTTTCAAGCCCTACCTGGAGATGCCAGGGATATTCCAGCTTCTTTCTAAATTCCTGGCCTCTGTTTTGGTTGGGAGGATTTAAAAAAAAAATATCAATCAGTCAATCAATCAATCAATCAATCAAAATAAAGATCAAAAAGCTCTGAGTGATTCATGTCTGCTTACTTCTGAGTGGATACAAACAGACTTGCCTGTTTACTTTTGAGTATAAATTCTTCTTATGCTTCTTTATGAGGAGAGATGGAAAAATGTTGTTGCTGTTGTATTTGTAATGCCAGGGAAAGTGAAGAGATACTTGTGGGATTATTTATTTGAGCTGCCAAAAGAACTTGGCTAGGATCTGACACAAGTGTGGTACACTCTGCGTTTTGACTTTGGTCAGTGTGTGTAGGTGCAGAAAGAAAGGAGTGCCAATATGCTGTTCTCAGGCAGCAAAAATTTGCGGGGGGGGGGTTAGTAATCCTTAAATATGTTGGTGAAAGGTGGGCTTTTTGAAGAGGGGTTTGAAGGAAGCAAGAGAGGTAACATCACACAGGGTCTCTTGGGAGGCAGCCACAGGCACCAGGGGGAGAGTGGGCAAAGCTATTGGGGTTGCAGGAAACCTTTGGGCCCTACAGAGGAAGAAAGGATGTGGCCTCCAGGGGCAGCTAGGCCGGAGACAGCTGCCCTTAAAGCAGTCTTCAACTTTCATCAGGACTTTGATGGTGAAGTGATTATACTTGGCTGAGGCCAACAGAGGATACTGTGATGGGACCCATTTCGCAACTCCCGTGAATGTTCTCTCCATGGAATGCTCTCCCCAACAATCCTACTTTCCAACTTGTTTTCTGCACCAGGTGCAGTTCTTGACTTGTCCAGGGCTTTTAGATCATCATGCTTTTATTTGGGGACGCCAAATAAACTGTTTTGTGCCGTTTTCCTGGCGGCTTCCTTTAATTTTGTAAAAATTCCGCCCCCACCCCCACTGCCAAAGTGACAATTGCATCTTATTACTTTAAGCTTTGTTAGTTACTCTGAGGAGACACTTGTCTGAAGAGTAGGATATAAATATCCTGAACAAATAAGGTCGTA